CCATATCTTGGACAGGTTTCTATGAAAATTCTTACTCCTGCAGTCACAAGGACTCCCTAAACTTTTTCATTGTTGAAGTTGAATATAGTTGCAGTGGCAGACAATCTGTCAGTCTCTCTTTCAAGTAATTAGGACTTGTGCCATGCTAGACTTTGAAAATCAGGACAGGGTGTTTAACTGGGGTCTGTGTTCTGAACTACCTTGAGCTTTCTGATGGTATGGAAGCTAATTCCTACATTATATGTGATAATCAAAGCTATGTTACTGAAGAATTAATTACTATAGCCAGGATAAAATGCTTTTTCCCCCCCATTTTTTCTTTTCTTTTCCACCTTGAATTTGCTTTGTAATCCACCCAAATGCCATGCATAAGCTTGGATAACATCCAGTTCTGAACTACCTTGAGCTTTCTGATGGTATGGAAGCTAATTCCTACATTATATGTGATAATCAAAGCTATGTTACTGAAGAATTAATTACTATAGCCAGGATAAAATGCTTTTTCCCCCCCATTTTTTCTTTTCTTTTCCACCTTGAATTTGCTTTGTAATCCACCCAAATGCCATGCATAAGCTTGGATAACATCCAAGATATGAATTGATTAACAATCTAGGAGCTGGGTTTTTGTTGTTTTGGGGTTTTTTTATGTAAATGGTGTTTATGGGGATAAGAGTTCTTTAAAGTACGTCCCTTTTCCCACCAATGTCACCACAGTATTTTCTGGGTTCTGTATCAGCCTGCAATTATTACAGTTATGCCATTTAAATGGTTATCTATTAGTGGGCTGGCACAGATCAACTGGGGCCAAGGCCTCTCTGGCCTGCCCAGGCTACTTAAATGGGGCTGGGGCAGGGGCTGTTTCAGCTTGGTGTGGCTGGCCATTCAACCCAATACCCAGTAAGCATTCCAGTAAAGCCTAATGCTTACTGGGTAAGCAGGTAACCTTTTACATCCCTAATAACACTATTGTTCGAGTCCTTTGTTGATCATCATTATCTTGTCTTGCCTTCATTTTCCTCCTTTAGGGATAGAATCCCACTGAAGATCACCTTGAGCTTCCATTTCTTTAAGCACCTTCCCCAGCCTGGCATAGTCTAAGTGAGAATCCAGAAATATCATTCTTTCCAATCTGAAGAACTAGCTTTAGGTCTACATACTGTATTTTAGCTCCAATCAGACACCATACCCTTGTGTTCTCTGGATTAGTTCTGGTAACCGTCCTGTCTGGTTTTCTTTAGCAGGGAATCCCTGATCCCATAGACCTGTCTCTTTTTAGAATTGATTCAATTCTTCCCCCATCTTTTCTCTCATCTTTACATGTCCACTTCTGTTCTCACTTGCAAACTTCTGCAAATCATCTTCTATCCTCTTTGGGCTTCGAACTCTGGTTGTCTCCTCCCCAATTCTTGAAGGACTAGCCACTTTTTTCTTCCTCCTTACTCTCTCAGGCTGTGTTTACACTGGTGTGTTCTTGTGCAAAAACATGCCGCTGCCCCCAGCCCTAGAAAATCTGCAGCTAGCATATTGGCCAGTTTTTTCCAGCCAATGACAGATGCCTGTTTGCAGGATAGGCAACATCTCCTTAGTTGAAGAAGTGTTACTTTTGTATACAATCTGGAGCTGGACTAACTGAAAAAAAGAAAATAACTTAAATCTGACAAAGATTTATAGTTTGGACAAGAAATCAATCAATCAATCAGACCAAAGAGAGGAGAAAATAAAATTGTGTAATCTTTTATTTTTATTTGGGAATGGTAGACAGGTTTCAGGGAAAAGTAAGGATTTGTCTACATAAACACTTAGTTCACAGCAAGCTGGGATGTAAATCTACTGCATGCTCACTGGCAATGCTCCAAGTGTCCCCTCCAAGCCTGCTATGATTGTACGGACCTTGCTGCCGTAAAATCTCCTTACTTGATTTGGATCTCCTTCCATTTCAAAGCAGTATAGATCTAAGCACGCTACTGAACTTTTGGTGCACAGCAGCAAGGTCCACTCGACCACATAGCATGCAGCATACTAGCTCAGGGCAGATTTACATATGTAGACAAACCCTAAAAATATTGGGAGACCCTAAACTTGCAAATGCAGGCTTTTTTATTTTTTAAGATGACTTGACCAAGATGTGTGTTTGACTCAATCAAACCATATTTTAAATAAAAATGAGGGTTAGTTAAAAAAAATCATTGATGCACCATACTTTTAAATGCAATCCAGGAAATACAAATGATGTATATAGTTTTAAGGTGTTCTCTTACTCCTTCTACTACACAGGATCACCCAAGTGTATTTCTGTGTTGTCAACTCTGTTTCCTCACAAGTAATGTGGTTTTGACCAGGGTTGAAGCTGGTCTTGTTGTATATCAACAAGCTATAGGCTTCTCAGGAATTTTAGCTGTGCCTTCAGGGAGGAGAGGATGTCCCTTTGTACCTGCTTGTGATTTCATATGCAGATAATACAGAAAAATAATATATACACAGAATTGGCGGTACCTCTGCTTTTTGATTCATTACAAGAAATGTAGGAAATAATTTGCATAGCTTACTGAAAGGTAAAAAGGGCTACAAATTTGCCTTCTGTATAAATGAAGATCATAAATATATTATGAAAGAATGCAAAGGAAATATAATTATTTCCTTGAGAATAAGAGGAAAATAAAAATAATTAAACACTTTCACCATGTTTCTTCCTCCAAAAAAGAAAGTACCAGTGGCTACAAAAGGTTAAGAACATGAATTATTGAGAATAAAATAAGTGACTAAGCATGTTAAATGAATAAATGTTATATTTGAAACTGGCTAAATGGCAGGATTTGTAGGGAATGCAATGCATAATTATTCAAAGACTGGGTTCAAAAGCAGCTAACTGTTGGACTACTAGAATGCAGTTGGATTCCTTTAAGCAGTACTGACCAGCAGTTCAGAGTCATTCACTAAGGGTGCATCTACTCTGCACCACAGATCAAAATAAGATATGCAATTTGAGCTACGCAAATTGCATATCTTATTTTGAAACAGCTTATTTCGTAATTTGGCACTGTCTACACAGCACTTATTTCAAAATAACCTGCTATTCTGAAAATGTCCCTTACTCCTGTGGAATGAGGTTTACAGGGGCATCGGAATAGTGAGCCCATTACATTTTGAAATAATGGGCTTGCTGTTAAGACACAGGATAGCTATTTTTGGATACTTCCAGTATCCCAAAATAGCGCTGCAGTGTAGACTTACCCATTTTTCATACCAAAGTTAGGTTATTTGGAATGAACAAACGCTTACTAGTTGCAGGAGCAATGAATGAATATGCCAGTTGCTGTGATTTGTTTAGTATCTGCTCAGAAACATCCTTTTACTTTAACCGATGCTGGTTAAAAGCAGTTTTCAGATGTTGTCTGGGGTGCAGAAATAGGGTTGCCAGCCCAGCCAATTGTATGAAATTTCTAACAGAAGCATTTGCATCACTACCAACATTTTGACTTTTGGTGGTACATAAAGTCAATCAATCTGTTCTATGTGGATTCTTTGCCTGATGAGGCCTTTCACCAGCAAGTTTATTTTTCTGGTAGTATGGCATGCCTTCAGTTTTAATCAAACTTTTCCCCCAAAAGAGCAGGACTTCTGGCCTCCTTGGGTTTTTCTGGATCTGTCCATTAGTTTGTTACTGCAATTTCCATTGTTACCTGTCACAGAGGGCACTCCTCCTTATTGACTATTAAACATATTTAAATGTTAACTTGAAGAGGCTTCTTATTTATGCTCCCAAAACTGTATCTTGGACTTAATAAAATCTGGTGCAGAAGGCCTGCAGTAATTACTGAGAAAAAATTGATATCAGGTTAGCAGAGAGCATCTTCAAGTTACTGTTATACTGTAACTTGCTCACTATGTTCTGGTTACTATAAATCCTTCTTCTCATTCAGAGACAATACTTGGTGATCTCAGCTAGGAATGTGAACAGATAACCAATTAACCAGCACCACAGATAGGGGGCTACTGCAGCCCAGCCAGGCCCACCACGCCACATGGCTGGCAGCCAGCAGCCCTGTGCAGCTGAGAACTAGTTAATTTATTAAATGGGATTTTATATCCCTAATCTCAGTTTCTGAATCCCATCACAGCTGCTCACATCTTGTCCAACACACATCTTGTTTGTTGTCCTTTAAGCAAGACTCACTTCCCCCATACATTCTTCTTTCACTGGCCTTTCTCATTCCATTAGAAGGAACTTTTACAAAAATTCAATTTCTGTATTTAACAAGAATTTGGAATAATGCATCTCATCCAGTGTGCATATTGCCAATATGCAATATACATTTGCATATTGTGTGGTTACTGAATAATTACATGTGAATATGAATATCATTCTCTGAGTGTAGGTGAATGCACATGTGGAAAACCAGTGTATAGTTGCAGGTCAGTTATGGAATAGCATCCTTGCACTCTAGGTTACTAAGACAATCTCATTTTAATGCTATGATAGGTAAATATATAGAGATAGTATAAATTAATATGTGTTATTAATGTTATTACATTAAGCAATCAAATACAGAAAGTTGTGTGCCTGTACTGACTATTTTCAGATGACTGTAATGTTGGGGTAAAAAATGATTAGATGCTATTAGTTTAGACTGTGCTGCACGTGTGGGATTTTTTTATGGCTTTTTTCCTCAAATGTACGTCTTTTAAAGTTAGCACTTTAGTTGAAGGAAGACTTGTTTTGCTTTTTTTACTTTCCTTTAAATGTATAATTTGTCATAGTAGGTTTTTGTCAACTTCAATACACTTTCTTTGTATTGGCTATGGCTGTCATTGCTGTTTTTAGTTTTGAGATTTTTTTTAATAAGCTTAGGTCAGAACAGTTTTTTCCTAATGAATAATACGTTGTACTGTGACAGTTATTTCTTGGAGCCTTATCATAAGGCAATTCATTTCCTTACAGTGATTTTTTTTTTGTGTAAGTGTTACAATTTGTGGTGTAAATGTTTTTCTGATTTTTACAGGTAGTGGTTCAGTTCCAGATTTCTTTCGTATTATGAAACGACAGTTTACAGAAACAGAGTGGAGGGTAATCAAGTCTATGAATAATGAAAGGCTTCAGCTAGATATGTTTTATAGACATTGGGTAATATATTTTTCTTTTTTAAATACTCAAAGTATTATCTCTGAGAACAAACTTTATCAAAGCAACATTTAATGTCTTGAGATAAAACTTCATTAATTGCACACAATTTTTGTTAGATTACATCCTTGGTGCCTCAGGATGTCTGTAGGTGTGTAAAAAAGTCTGCGTTGCACCTGGAATTCTTAGGAAGAACTGTGGCTGTCCTTATGCATGCATAAAAGTACCATAGAGAAGTTCTTGTTTGATCCAGGAGGGGGCACAGTCTATCCCTTGATTATTTCAGTATATTGTACAAGTCATTTTGTATTTATAGATGCATTGCAGCACCATAGGATTTGAATTGTTCCTATAGATGAGTAAACTTCCTGTGCATGGATTCTGCTTGTAGCAATTATACCACTGTAAATGTGGAGTAATCTCAGATTTACTGATGTGAAAGAATAGAATTTTTGATTCTCAATCTCTGCTCAGAGATGACCTTGCAGTCTAGATTGAGCTGTGTGCTACATGTAACTGTTATGTTGCAGGTAACACAGTTTCAGCCATTAAAAGCAAAAAATGTAAATAAAATATGTCATTTTGTATTTTAGGCACTAAAGGAAAGCTTTATAAAGGCCATTGGGGTTGGAATAGGCTTTAACCTGCAAAGGATTGAATTTCATGCCTCCCCATTGCACCTGGAAGTAGGGAAGGTATACACAGAGACAAAAATGGTGTTGGATGAAGACAAAGAAGAAGGGTGGACTTTTGAGGTAAGAAATCTACCTAAAAATGTCTGTAATAGAGTTCTATCATTTCTAGTAAGCAGGATCCCTTGCAACTGTCTGTTAGAAGTGCTGAGAGAGGAATTCATTATTCTGCTGCTCTGGACTCTCTAAAACCTCAGCAGACTCTCGTACTGGTTCCTTCCTTGGCCTCTCTGATACATTTTCTTGGCACTGATTCTGTCTGTTACCACATTTTGGAAATGGGGCTCCTCAGCTCACTATCCCAAGTTTCAGGACAAGCATTGACTCCAAACTACCACAGCTACTTAAACGTACCATCCCACCCGGATTTCCATCTCAAAGGTGTGACGCTTCTTGTTTACATTACTGGCATGATTTTCCAGAAATGCTTTTAACGGAAAAGTTTTCCGTTAAAAGCATTTTCGGAAAAGCGCGTTTAGATTGGCAGGACGCTTTTCCAGAAAAGCACTTTTTCCGGAAAAGCGTCTGTGGCCAATCTAGACGCGCTTTTCTGCAAAAAAGCCCCGATCGTCATTTTCGCGATCGGGGCTTTTTTGCAGAAAACACTACTGTGCTGTCTACATTGGCCCTTTTCCGGAACAGTTTTCCGGAAAAAGACTTTTGCCCGAACGGGAGCAGCATAGTTTTTCTGGAAAAGCACTGATGAATTTCCGGAAAAGCACTGACGATCTAATGTAAAATCAAGTGGCCAGTGTAGACAGCTGGCAAGTTTTTCCAGAAAAGCGGCTGATTTTCCGGAATAACTTGCCAGTGTAGAGACAGCCACTATGTAGTGCAGATCATAGAAAACAATAACATCTGAAATATCAATATCCCTCATTTTCTACCTCACCCTTCCTTTCTCAGTGCTTAGGCAAAATCTGGGTCTAGAGAGGCTGAGTGTCTTCTCCTCATGCAAGCTGTTGTGTGCTAACTGGTCCCTCTCCTTCATGAAGCCCCTTCAGTGACCTTTTTTCCTACCCCACATTGCTTCTTCTCCTCCTTCCCCTGTTCCTGTATATTTATGTATCTTAAACTCTTCTGCTCACCTGGTCTCCTTTGTTCTACTCCTCGTAAGTTTTCACTGCTTCTACCTTCTGCTCTTCTTTAAGAGGAATCAACTAAACTGATTTTTATAAGGATGCAGAACATCCACTGTCCCGGATGTTTACACCTGAACAGAGTCACTTGCATTATGGCTGCACTGCAGCTGAGAGCATGCATTCAAAAACAGGCAGACAGCCTTAATTCTAGCTCTCTGAGTTAGCATGCTAAAAATAGCATTGTAACAAGGGCAGCCTTTTGGGTTTAGTCCAGTCCCACCTTACTCTCCGTTTTTGAGCTTGGGTGTCCTGGCCTGAGTCACCACCATGCTCAGATGTTCACACTGATATTTTTAGCATACTAAGCTAGAGCAGAGCTAGAACAAAACTGTCTACCCAGGATAAGAGACAGCTAGAGCCCTGTGCAGGACTAGTGTATAGCCCTGTAGTGGCAGTGGAGTCCTGCAGGTCCTGTTGCCATAATAGCAGAAACAGTGGGAGTGAGATTAAAGAATAGTCCCATGTAGGGCTCTGCTTCCTACTTCAGTGTAATTATGCCCTAATCCCAAGCACCTTCTGTAGTATCTGGTTCAGATGTGTAACAAGACTTGCCAGCAGTGCTGGAGTATGTAGGCACTCATGACACAGTAAATGTTCATAACACAACTTCACAATATCAAATCAGAATTGCATAGATATAGTTCCAATTCATCACAATAATTAGTACCAACACTCTAAGACTGTATATTGTGATTGTGTTCAGTTTGAGCAGGAACTTTAAGCCTGATTTGAAAAGGTAAAAAACAAAACATTAGAATATAACCTTTGAGCAATAATGGAAATTTTCATGGCGGATTGAGGGAAAAAATGAATATATACAGAAAGAGTAATAAGAAGAATAAACTGTTTTTGGTGATCTGCTCTCCGCCTCCTTTTAGAGCTAGAGAGACATACTTTCTCATCAAACACCCCGTTAGCCTAGGAAAATATCCCTATGCTGAAAGATAGGAGAATGAGAGTTCATATCTTGCTTTTTATAACACCTGAAAAGTTTCCATTTTGAAGACATTACTTGCAGCTTTGTAAATCATGTGTACTGGTAGAGTTTGCTTTAAACAGACAACTTCTGATATACATCTGTTTTAAAATGCATATAATATAATAACAGAGTGAATATGCCAGAATAATGTTAAGCCTGGTGGGGTGCCAACTGACCTCTTTATGTTCCTGACATGCAGACAACTGTTTTGTGCATTTCTAATGACATTTAAGCTTGCACTTCTAAAAAACTTTCCTTTTTTCTAATCTCTACCTACTGTATAGACTATCTTGGTTTCCAGAGAGTCATTATGTCAGGAATTCATAGTAATCTGAGCTTTATATAAATAGGCAAATCTTTGAAAAGACTGTGACTAATTATTTTGTATATTAACTTCTGTAGTAGACCTAATAATATATAACTAGTGTTCTGCAGTAATTTGCTTTTCATAATTGCATCATAATATGACTTATTTTATAAATATTACCTGTAGGTTTTGTCTGCCAGGGGTACTTTTCAGTTTATTTTAATCTTTCCAATGCCATTGGCTACTAATCCAATTTACTATTAGCTTTAAGTAAAATTATATTGAAGGAATAGTTAGTTTCAGATATCAGTCTTAAGCCTAAAATTAAGCACTGCTTTTCCTTTTTGTTTTTTTTCTTCCTCCTTGTATTTTTCATACTTCCTGAATGACATCTGATTTTTCCAGTCCATTCTCTTCATTGTCTTTCTGTGCATTTTGAGCTCCATTTCTTTATACATAGAAGGCTAGGTCACACTTTTTGGCTGTGGTAATATTTAATAATTATTTGTTGTCCTTGATACACATTCTTAAAATCTTTTAATTTAGAACCCTTTTGTGTGGACTTTTGATAAATCTAGTGCAGTGGTTAAATCATTCAAGTAAAAGTCACCTGGCAGATAGCACATTGGTGTTATTTCTTAGTTGGTGGCCTCTGCTTGTTGAGTTTAAGCTGAATCAACATCCTCTGTCAAATGAAAAGATATGTCAGAAAAATTATTACAGTTTAGCTTATTTTCTCTTATAGGTGATGTATCTCTGGAAGCTTGTTATAGTTTGGTTACTATCATGGTTTGGGTGTTTTTTATTTAGTCAATTTTTATATCAGGTACAATTTACCAAAAATACAGAAGAAACAAAAATATAGGTGTTTTTTTCCATTTTACTTAAGTTGTACATTCTCTTTCGCCATTAAAACATCCTAAAAGCAACTTGGAAGCATAAAGTCAAGAATAAGTAAGATCTCTTTCTGCCATATCACTCTCAGCAAAAAACATCAGAAGAAACAGAACTAAATCTAGGCAAAATCTGACATCAAGTAGGAAATATAGTTTTTCATCTCCAAAAATAATGAGCTATCTTATGCCTGTTGATCACTCTCCTGACCATTGAAACAGAGTGATCCCATTTAGATCACAGAAATTAACCTCAACCCCAACACCTGTTACATTTTTTCCCAGCTCTTTATGGCTGATAAACATTACAAGCATTAGAGCCTTTCTTTACTGAAATAGCCAGTGCCCCATCTTTCCGTTCATCTTGAAGTTCATAATAGTCATATATGTAAAAACCCATACTGGATACATTGACCCTTACTGCTACCTTCCATTTCAGGAGGAGGGGGGCAGGAGGGAGGCCAGCAGTTACAGCACCATCCTCCCTCCCCCCCCTCCCCGGGCAGCCCTGGTGAGCCTCCAAGACCTCCCAGTCCCCTGCCCTCAGCCACCACACACCTCTCAACCCCCTACCCTGATTCCTGCACTCCCCAACACACCAGAAGCCCCCTGCCCAGAAGGACTCGAGCAACACGGGGTAAGCCTTCTAATATAAAATATATGCAGTGAGCATTTGTTATGCCATGCTTTTGTCAAAACTCTTCTTTGGTATTCTCTTTTTGTGAAATTTCAAGATGTACCATTCTATAAGTACAGTAATTCTTGAATAAAGAATACTAACAGCAAGACATTTTCTAGATAACTATTAAATCAGTATTTTCCCCATGAGCCTTCATTATATTTCCATTTTTTAAAAAAAGACGCTTCATATAAATATATCCAAAAGGGGAGAGCTTTAGTTTCTATTACATTTAATAGACGTAAAAATCTTGAAACAAATCAAGAAATTTCTCAGAATATAAGAGTGAGGGAGGATGACATTACTAAAAACTAAACCCATTAAAGAGCAAAAATGTTGAAAAGGAATTGTCAGTATGGAAAAACATGCCAACTAAGTTTGTGCTTAAAACTTTGCAATTTCTAGTTATTCAGCTCTATGAAGAGACTAGTTCCCAAATTAATATTTCTTACAAAGCAGCATTGAGTAACACAGGAAATACAAGCAAATATAAATATTTCAATCTTGATGTGATTTTTGTGGTGGGCTTGATATATTTAAATGTAAAAGTTGCATGTTTTAATCCCAAGTGTAAAGAAAGTAAGTATAAGCTTAGTAAAATCTGCAGTTGGAAAATACTATGTCTGTGCCTGCAGTGCTCCTTATTGTTGTTCTGACTCCAAAATGAAACCTATTATAAACACTCCGTTTAAAAGTGTCTATCAAATGCATGGAATTCACAGAGGATTCTGCTATTTGGGCTTTTAGAAGTTATTAGAATATATGTTTGTGTAATTTTCTAAATATAAATCCTTTTGGTGGAAAAACTTTGTAAAAAGAATCTCTTGTGTCAGATGTAGAACTGACATGTATCCCTTCTTTTAGTTTATACTATAGCTAGGTTCCATATGTTCTTTCACCAGCCAAGAGTATTGCAGATCTGTTTCACAGTTGATGGTTTATGTACTTCTCAGGGCTTTTTGAGCTTCATCACAGGGCTGCACTGTGATACTCTCCAATCTGGACTGCTGGACTGCCATATCCCTTAACTCTCCACTCTGGAGTCCCTTTTACACTTTGCTGTTGAGCAGTAAACTCCTGCATATTCTGCTCTCTCATAGCCACCAGCATGTAAAGTCATTCCCAGCTGAGTATGTGAATGCTATGGCCATCCATCCATGAATTACATATAGAGTGATACCTGTATATCCTCAGCCCCTGGCTGACTCACAGAAAATGTGCATCTTACACTGTTCATTACCCTTCTGAGCTCGTAGGTAGTCTGTCACTGAAAAATTGGGAATGATTATGCACAAGCCTTTATTATCTCAAGAAAATATTTCGCAAGCACTTCAATCAGCACACTGGTTTAGATAAAACTGTAAAACAAGCTTATCAGCTAGAGAAAGCTCAAGGCAGGATCAAGCTCTGTCTACACCATCCCTGACAGATGTCTATCTAACCTGTTCTTAAATATCTCCAGAGAGGGAGATTCCACCACCTCCCTTGGCAATTTATTCCAATATTTGACCACCCTGACAGTTAGGAATTTTTTCCTAATGTCCAATCTAAACCTCCCCTGCTGCACTTTAAGCCCATTACTCCTTGTCCTGTCCTCAGAAACCAAGAGGAACAAATTTTCTCCTTCCTCCTTGTGACACCCTTTTAGATATTTGAAAACCGCTATCATGTCCCCCCTTAATCTTCTTTTTTCCAAACTAAACAAGCCCAGTTCATGAAGCCTGGCTTCATAGGTCATGTTCTCTAGACCTTTAATCATTCTTGTCGCTCTTCTCTGTACCCTTTCCAATTTCTCCACATCTTTCTTGAAATGTGGCGCCCAGAACTGGACACAGTACTCCAGCTGAGGCCTAACTAGTGCAGAGTAGAGCGGCAGAATGACTTCACGAGTTTTGCTTACAACACACCTGTTGATACAACCTAGAATCATATTTGCTTTTTTTGCAACAGCATCACACTGTTGACTCATATTCAACTTGTGGTCCACTATGACCCCTAGATCCCTTTCTGCCATGCTCCTTCCTAGACAGTCGCTTCCCATCTTGTATGTATGGAACTGATTGTTCCTTCCTAAGTGGAGCACTTTGCATTTCTCTTTATTAAACCTCATCCTGTTTACCTCTGACCATTTCTCTAACTTGCTAAGGTCATTTTGAATTATGTCCCTATCCTCCAAAGAAGTTGCAACCCCACCCAGTTTGGTATCATCTGCAAACTTAATAAGCGTACTCTCTATCCCAATATCTACATCATTGATGAAGATATTGAACAGTACGGGTCCCAAAACAGACCCTTGCGGAACTCCACTTGTTATCCCTTTCCAGCAGGATTTAGAACCGTTAACAACAACTCTCTGACTACGGTTATCCAGCCAATTATGCACCCACCTTATCGTGGCCCTATCTAAGTTATATTTGCCTAGTTTATCAATAAGAATATCATGCGAGACCGTATCAAATGCCTTACTAAAGTCTAGGTATATGACATCCACTGCTTCTCCCTTATCCACAAGGCTTGTTATCTTATCAAAGAAAGCTATCAGATTAGTTTGGCATGACTTGTTCTTCATAAACCCATGCTGGCTATTCCCTATCACTTTATTACCTTCCAAGTGTTTGCATATGATTTCCTTAATTACCTGCTCCATTATCTTCCCTGGGACAGACGTTAAACTGACCGGTCTGTAGTTTCCTGGGTTGTTCTTATTCCCCTTTTTATAGATGGGCACAATATTTGCCCTTTTCCAGTCTTCTGGAATCTCTCCTGTCTTCCATGATTTTCCAAAGATGATAGTTAAAGGCTCAGATACCACCTCTATCAGCTCCTGGAGTATTCTAGGATGCATTTAATCAGGACCTGGTGACTTGCAGACATCTAACTTTTCTAGGTGATTTTTAACTTATTTTTTTATTTTATCTTCTAAACCTACCCCCTTCCCACTAGCATTCACTGTTCGGCATTTCTTCATCAGACTTCTCGGTGCAGACTGAAACAAAGAAGTCATTGAGCATCTCCGCCATTTCCAAGTTCCCTGTTACTGCTTCTCCCTCCTCGCTAAGCAGTGGGCCTACCCTGTCCTTGGTCTTCCTCTTGCTTTTAATGTATTTATAAAAGGTCTTCTTGTTTCCCTTTATGCCTGTAGCTAGTTTGATCTCATTTTGTGCCTTTGCCTTTCTAATCTTGCCCCTGCATTCCCATTTTGCTTGCCTATATTCATCCTTTGTTATTTGTCCTAGTTTCCATTTTTTATATGACTCCTTTTTTATTTTGAGATCATTCAAGATCTCCTTGTTAAGCCAAGCTGGTCTTTTGCCATATTTTCTATCTTTCCTACACAGCGGAATTGTTTGCTTTTGGGCCCTTAACAAAACGTCCCTTTGAAATGATTACATCATTTCAAATGATTACAAGTGATAAGGCATTAAGGTCATAGATTCATAGGGATGGAAGAGATCACAGGAGGTCATCGAGTCCAGTCCCCTGCCCAAAGCAGGACCAACCCCAACTAAGTCATACTAGCCAGTGCTTTGTCAAGCTGGAACTTAAACACCTCTAGGGATAGAGATTCCACCATTTCCCTAAGTAACGCATTCCAATGCTTCATCACCCTCCTAGTGAAATAGTTTTTCCTGCTATCCATCCTAGACCTCTCCCACTGTAACTTGAGACCATTGCTCCTCATTCTGTCATCTGTCACCACTGAAAACAGCCTCTCTCCATCATCTTTGGAACCTCCCTTTGGGTAGTTAAAGGCTGCTATCAAATTCCCCCTCTCTCTTCTCTTCTGTAGACTAAATAAACCCAAATCCCCTAGCTGCCCCTTGTAAGTCGTGCTCCAGTCTCCTAATCATTTACCCTCTGCTAAACCCTCTCCAGTGCATGTACATCCTTTCTACAATGGGTGGGGGGTGCAGATTTGGACACAGTACTCCAAATGTGGCCTCACCAGTGCTGAATAAAGGGGAAAACTCACTTACCTAGATCTGCTGGCAATGCTTCTCCATTAGGAGGAGAATATGTACCCTAATATGCCATTAGCCTTAGAATCATAGGATCAGAATCATAGGGTCAAATCGTGTGCTGACCCCAAGCTCCATGTGGGCACTTCCGCTTTGAAATGTACAAGAGCCCTCGTTCTGCGTTCTTATAATAGACTAGTTGACTATAGGATCCATGGGGCTGAAGCAGTCCCCTTGCTCCAGCCCCCGCTGGTTAACCTGAATTGGTAAGCATCATCCATTAAGGGTGAGCTTACTGGTTAACCTTTCACATCCCTATTACATTTTTTCGACAGGATGTTACTACTCAGCTGACTGAGTTTTCAAATAATACCTTCTAAGGTATAATTTATACAAAATATAACCATGTAAAAGTAGTGAACATGGAGTACAGCACATCATATGGGGTAGAAGGTGTCACGTGCACACTGAATCAATTTAGAATTTTCCATGTTGCTGAGATTTTATTTGCAAAATAGTCTGAGTGCACTCAATACTTAAATTATGCTGTCCTGGTTAATTAGTTGGTTTACTGCTCAGAATAGCTCTGTGGGCTATGATTTCGTGGCTGCAGTAGCAGAGGAAAAGAAGTAACATTTGTACTAACTAGGAGTATATGTTATCTATTTATGCAACTGCCGGTATATATCTTACATGTATACATTAATTATGACATAGAAACCAGCACTCTAAAAAGAGAAGAAGTTAATTACCTTCAAGGTTCTTCAAGGTGTGTGATCTCTATCTGTAGTCCACTTACTGTCCTCCTTCCCCTCTGCTTTGGATCATTCTTCAATTCATGGTAGAAAAGGAACTGGAGAAACAGTTGGTCCAGTCCACCATGTATATTCTTGCTGAGAGGCACAAGGTGTGCTAGGTGACATATGTGGACCACTGGACACTGCTTTAAAAATTCTCTTATCTCCAGGCATATGGCACACATGTATACACACAATGGAATATAGGTAGGGACCAAATATCTCTAAAAACTTCCACTTATGAAGGTAAGTAACTTCCTCTTTCCTTGTCATATCTTCTTGTGAATGTACATAAGACTAATTCTTTGCACCTCATAAATCTGATTTTAGTGAGGTCTCATATGTCTCTCCTTAGGAAGATTACATGTCTTTTCTTCCACTTACTCCCAGTTTTGCAGATTGGGTTAACTGAGGCAGATTAAAGATAAATGGTATGCCCAAGTTTGCACACACTATTTTCAGCAGAGTTGGCAGAGAATCCTGATTTTTCACACAATTGAATTGTGTCTTTTTTACCAAATCTTCCAAAATCTGCATTTCACTTGTGAAAGTTGATGATTTTAAATGAATTCTGGTCCCATCTTCAAATTTACTCCTTGTTTTGCCCTACATTCGTGCATGTGTGTAAATGTATTCTAGTTCAGACAAGTAGTAGTGAAAATTAATTTACTCTTAATTTTTTCTTTACTAGGAAACCCGGTTGGATGATCTCCATCATATTGCTGTAGCTCTGGGGAAACCAGAAGTATTTGGACAGAAGGATTCTAATGTAAGATGTTATGAGTTTGTCTATAAAATACCTTGCCATATGAAAGGAAATAAAGGTGTTATACAATTTGAATGGAATACAAGTATTTTGGCCATAAATGCCAATTTTTCCTATCCTATAACACTAGCTTTAAAATAACCATAATGGTTAACAGCTAATCAGAGTCACTCCAAATGAGTTCATGTAATTAATCTAATTAATTTCACTTCATTTGTGACATTCATTCATTTTGGAAATGAAATTCAGCTCCCATGACTTCTCCAGTCTCTTTTTTCCTGATCTCACTGGAAGTCCCAAAAGTATAATTCTTTGGAGTCTTGTTCTTTAAAATTTCAGCTATAAAAGAGATGACAACTCTTCTCCATCCACAGCTTGTGATGTTTGTGGGTCTGGTCTCAATCACCGCAGTGATAAAAGTGCAGGGGTTGTATGTTCTTCTATGGTGCTCAGTCTATCTCTTTGCTTCAGTTTAGATCAGGACTGGGGATCAGGTTGGATACTGACCCCGCTTCATTTCATATGCAGCAAATCTGTGCTGCAGGCCAGAAGCCCCAAGCCTTGATGTGCCCTACAGGTGTGGAGCTGGAGTATCAGTTCACCAGCATCTCCCTCTGGCCCCTGTACAGAGGGGCAATCAGGAAATCTCTGCATGCTGTCCCAGCAACAACTCCACAGCTCCCATTAGCAGTAACCAAGGCTAATGGGAGTTGTAGGGGCAGTGCACCTGGGCAGTACGAACCATGCAGTCACTTTCATCTAGGGGTCAGATATGATGGCTGCTTATGGGAGTGGCATAGGGCCAGGGCAGTCAGGGAGCCTGCCTTAGTCCTGCTGCAATGCTGCCCAGAAGCAGCCTAAGGTAAGCGCTGCCTAGACGGAGCCCACACCCCAAACTTTCTCCCACACTCTTAACTCCCTCTCAGATCATGCATCCCCACCTGCACCCCTCTCCTGAGCTACCTCCTGCCCCTAGACTCCCTCCTGGAGCCCACACCCCAAATCTCTTCTCCCATCCCTGAGCTCATGCTAGACCTCTTGGCCACAGAGACCTCTCCTGTATCCCAAGCCCCTCATCCCAGAGCCCACCCACCCAGCCGAAGCTTTCATTCCCTCCCAATCCCCTACCCCAGCCTGAAGCCCCCTTCTGAACTTGGAACCCCACATTTCTGGCTTGATCCTCTGTGCACCCACCCCAACAGGGCCATCTGTAGCCCCTGCATGATGTTTTCTGTGTATCAGTGGCCCTGATATAAAAAACTTCTCCACCCCTGATTTAGACCAACAAAATGAAAGGACTTGAGTCTAGAAACAAAGTTATAAAATGGGGGCTTATTTTCATAAATGCGGTTACCATGAAAGGGAATTAGGAGTCATGGTAGATGACCAGTTGAATGCGAGCTGTTAATGCAGTGCTGTAGCTAATCATGTGAATCCGATGCTTGAATATATAAGCAGAGGAATGTCTAGTAAGAATAGGGAGAAGTGATGTTACCTCTGCGTATGGCATTAAGAAGGTCATTACTGAAATGCTGTGTGCAGCTCTGATGTTCACATTTCAAAAAGGATGTTGAAAACTTAATAAGGGTTCCAAAAAGTGCTACAAGAATTATTTCATCTGAAAAATATGTTTAAAAGTGAAGGAGCAATGAAACTCTCTGTTTCTCTCAGAGAAGATTGAGGTGACTTGATCAGTCTACAAAAATGTACAGTAAACTTCCGATAATCCGGCACCTTTAGGACCCAGGGGGTGCCAGATTATCAGAAATGCCGGACTATCGGAAGGGGGATTATGAGGGGTCTGGGATGGAGTGGGAGGGCACCCCTCGGCGCTGCGGGACCAGCCCAGCAGCACTCCAGCTGCTCGCTCCAGACTTCCCCAGGTCAATTTCAGCAGCAGCTGAATCGGGGAAGCCAGAGGCAGAGCAGCTCCAGTTGTCCGACAGCCGGAGCTCTTCCGGGTTTCTGATGGTGCCGGACCATCAGGAGTGCCGGAGCATTGGATGCCAGACGAAGACAAACATCTCATTAATCTATCAGAAAAGAGCATACAAGATTGAGTGGTTGAAAGTTGAAGCTATACAAATTCTGAATATTTGAAAAGAATAATTTTAAGTGTTTAAACTGGGGCAAAAGGGGAGGAGAATAGTGAAATTTGTCCATGCTTCTCTCTAACTAAAATGTATTTTACATAGGTTCTTCCTAAAGACCCAACCCAGACACAGTTCCAGATTTTGACTTTTGATGATTTAGTTGCCTCTGGTGTTCCTATAGCACCTGAAGACCCTGCTTATTGGGATAACTTTTGTTCCAAGCAGGAGTGCCCAGCACGACAGAATACTCATTCAAGATAAGATTATGTTGACAAGAGAAGAAACTGAAATCTTTTAAAGACCACCTATTGTTCCTTTGCAACACTTAATTTGAGTGTATATATACATTTCCCCTATGAGACCAATATTGGGTTTCTCAGCATTGCAAAGCTGCCACCTTTTACCCTCTGTCCCATGTGCTGAGATCATTCTAGGCTAAAGAAACTGTGAAGTGAAAGATCTAAGTTGACCCTGCACCTTTTCTTTTATTGTGTAATTTGCCTCTACCTCAGTGTGAATCTCATATCTCCATGAGTGCCACCTGCAAATAGCATGAACACCGTTTCATTAATGCTGCTTTTGATGAGCAAAAAGTGTTTAATATTTAAAGAAAATGTGTTTTCATACTTAATTTATGCTGCTGTTTAAATTATATTATTGCCTCTCTCATATAATATATAGGTTTCTTGTCTCTCGTTTAGATATGATTCTTCAGAAGTGGATACATGCCCAGTAGTAATTCTGCATTTGCAACTCTGTTTTCTTCATTTCTGGAGACCCCAATTTTTAAATACATAAGCACTGTCTGCCCTTTTCCAAACAGAGCTAGAGCTGGTGGTGTAGAGTATTATATTGTCATATAGACTTCAGAGGGACTTAGGAGAGAGCAATAGGTGCTCAAAAACAATTTTAGACTATTTATCGTGTTCTTTTCAAAGAATACTTTTTCCCATTGTATATCCTTTATTTTGTTCAAGGAAGTCTGGATACGTGAGGTCATCTGAAAGGTTCAGGGAATAGACATTGAGCAGAATCATTACCTCAGAATAAAAGACTCAATTCTCTTCCCCTTGTAGTCAAACAAAATTCATGTTGACTTCTGTGAGAGCAGGATTGTGCCATTTGGCTGTTGCCCTGCATTCTGACTAGGTGAAAACCTGCTTGTATTATAACCTTTAAACTTGCACCTCTGATGTTAAATAGGATTTGAGGCAGGAAGAAAATGGGTTTTACAGACTTACATGAGCTCTCATGCTGCTGGTGCAGATAATCACTTTCTCACACTCAAATAATACATGTTACAATCATCTTTTTTGCCTGCTTTTACAACAAACTTTTTTGTTGCATTTGTCTCAGAAGTTCCCTGGAGCTTCTTATATTGCTAAATTGCACATTAAGCATACTTTTCATTAAAAGCTGGACAAAGCACTGAAGTAGAAAATCCCTTCTTCAGGCTCCACGGGGGTTAAATTAGATGATTCATTAACTCCAAATTCAAGGTTATGTAAAGGTAGAACAACTCCTGTGCCCTTGGTTGGTAACATATTCCAGACCTATTTCATGCACTAAAATAACTTGAATTAAAATCAAATAACAGCTAAAAAGAGACATGTAATAACAAATATTGTCTCCCAGGATAAGTAGTATAATTACCCTTGTGCTGTTACCTGTGAACAATTATTATAACTATACTTCCATTTTCCTCATTAAGTTGATGTATTCCTGAAAGTCATTTTACTTGCTAAAACTGTATCTTCATATATGAACATTCACATATGTAGGAATATTTAACATAGTTTAAGAACTGAGAGAACTGAAAACTGCAATTAATGGTAAATGAAAATAATCTGTTAGTCAAAAAGTATAGTGCTTTTTTACCTTTTTGAGCATTGATTATATTTGAAATAAAACATGAGAAATACTCATCGTAGCAGTTCCAGTAGTAGTGTCTGTTGTTTTCATGTAACATTCCTGGGTCTGTTCTGAAGAAAACTGGATTAATAGTGTTAAAGACACATACTTTTAAATTGAGCTATTAATTAATAAATAATTGCTTAATGCTCTGTCAATCATTACAGCTTTACCTTGTAGGTAGGAATAAAACTGAAAATTATGAATTTCTAGTACTGAAAGTAGGGTGACTATTGGATCTTGGTTTAGGAGTCCCCTAATGGCCAAAGTTGTTCTGTTCAAAATTAAGGCAAATTTCTTAATGGAGAAATCCAGTATTAAATCAGTTGTACCCTGTTGATTGTAACTTTTTATTTTATTTGCCAAAATAATAGCCGCCACAACAATTTTTCATGTTTTCCTACAAACTACTGTAGATGTTGAAGCATTTTTTAAAATAATCCTGTTTATTACCTGATGGTCTTACAAATACTTTACAAATACTACTTGTACTGTATTACCTAAGGGATGCCAGTGTGCCACATTTATAATGCTATGAAAGAAGCACAATGTAGTAAATGGATATGTGATCCTGCCTAATTGTCCACTTTATAAAGGTTAATTTCTTGGTCACATTCAGAGCTAGCAGAAGAGATAATATTGGACAAATGTGTATAATTCAACAGATAATTTACTTTTTAAGTAAGAAATTTGCTTCATCAAGGACAGAGTCACTTGGTGGAGAATCCCCCAAAAGATGTAGGCATTGCAATACTGAGCATCACAGCACCTAACTTTTAGGCCCCGAGGAAATCACAGTCACAATATTTTGCTCCTCAAAGATGAGTTAAGCACCTAGGCTCCCTATTCAATGAATGGGAAGTGATAGACATCTTAGAATGTGATCCACAAAAGCCATTCCACTAGGGACATGTCTACACTAGGGAATTATTTAAAAATAATGAAATTCAGCTTAACTCCTGATTTTACAAAATCAAAATAACATGTCCCCGCTACAGGGAAGCCTCGAAATTAGTCCGAGGCAGACTTCCTTAATACAAATGTGCTACTCGACTTAGAGCCCCAAGAAACACTCGGGGAGTAATTAGTTCAAATTACTCTGGAGAGGAGTTATTTCGAAATAGCAGCACGGGCATGACCACACTATTTCAAAATTAGCGTTATTCCCCGAGGAAAGCAGGAGTACAGATTTCAAAATAACAGGTTTTGTAGTGTGGTTGCTCCACTTACAAACTGAACCTAAGAAGGGTTATTTCAAAATAACATCCTAGTAGACCAGGGCTAGGTGTGGAACCATCTAAGCTAACTAATGCAAGATGCTGACAAGAAGAATGTATTATATAAGTTCTGGTGGTCTCTGAGGTAGATGCCTAACTCCAGGCTACAGCTAGGCACATTTTCCCATGATGAATAACAGCACTTTTGTGTCAGTTCTGTTCTTTTTTTCATGTGGCAATTTCTGTCATTTGAATTGATCTTGTAACAAAGTGAGAGCAGGCTGAAGTGCAGCTGGGAGACATGGGTCTCTGTTTCTTAATCCAGGGGAGCTACAATATGCTCGTACACATGAAAAGATTAATTGGGGAGTCAGGAAGGGTTCAGATCACTTACAACATTCTTTTCTGTGACCTGCATCAAATATTAATTCAATTGTTCTATTCTGATGAAATCCAGCCCTTGTGATAGTTAAGCAGGCACCCTTTGAGATACCATGGTTCCTACAACACATCTACATCCTGGCCAGACACAAAATGAGTCTTTGCAGCCAAGTGAAAAATGTTATGTCAAAAAAGTTAATAAATCTGAAGAAAGAAACTCCTAAGAGAAATAAAATGTATCTAAAATACACAAAAAGAATATATAGGCATCCCCTGAAAAAGTATTTTAAATACAAGGGCAATATAACCTGTTCTGCTGTGCACCTTTTACATTTTCAGCAGCTTGATAAAGGAAAGGTTGCATGTAGATTTTTCTGTGAAAATTGTGTTTAGACTCATTCTGAATTCCTCAAAGACATGGAGGTTTGCCTGATTTGGGACTTCAAGTTGCTGTCTGATGGCAGCTATGTCCACACTGCTGGGTGTAGCTACATGTCAGCGAAATGCTCTGGCATCTCTCTGCTGCCAGAGCCTTTCACCTCCGCTTCCTCCCAGCTAGAGCCTTTCTCCACTGATAGAGGTTTTCCTTGTGACGAGGAAAGGTTCCATCAGCTCTGCAGTGGGACAAGGCTCTTTGCAGTGGGGGAGCTACCAGACCCTTTTCCTACTGCCTCCTCCCCCCAGAGCCCTCTCCCCTTTCTGGGAGAGGGGAAAGACTGGCAGTAGGGAGGCAATTTGACTAGAAATAGCAATGTAGATGGGGGGAGGCATTCCATGGACATGCAGAAACCTGTGCAGGGCACATACCCCCAGGGCTCAGGAGCAGTACCTCCCCGTCTATACTATTGATACCCATGCTAGGGGGACATGCAGCATATGTACTGGGGTGGCTGAACTTACGGGTCCCCTGAGCTGTGTGCAACAATCTTCTGACGTTGAGAGCCAGGGTATGCCTGCTGGGCCTTGGGCATCAGCCCCACAGGAAGCACATGCTGGAGCTCAGAGTTTCAGTAATGCCGGGGGGCAGAGGAGTCTCAGGTTTCAGTCCCATGAGAGGTGCCTGCCAGGGCTCAGGTCTGAAACCCAGGACTGAAGTCCCAAGCCCTGGTAGGTGTGCTTAGTGGGGATGATGACCCAGCTCTCGCTCCCCATTGGGCAGAAGCCAGAAGTGACACATGGAGGGGGGAATCGTGCAGTCATCTGTGCCACACATCCCATCTTTGCCAGGGTTTGCGGGTCCCACTAGGTCACATGTGCCACTGGGTCCCCTCCCAGCACAGCAGCTGTTGGAACCAACAAGCAGAGATGCTGCCATGGGCAGAGGTAGGAGCATCAGCTGGGAACTGCAGGGAGAGCTGCTGCTTTTGCTGTAACCTCTTCCAGAGGCATTAAAGCATTGGCCCTTTCCTGCAGCTTCCAGTTGTTTGCTGCTGCCTCGCCATGTGGAGTGAACAGCTGGGAGCTACAAGAATGGACTGATTAAGGAAGGGGAGGGGAACCTTTTTTGGGAAGAGCACCACTAACCCACAGAAAGATCAGTTGGGAGCTACACATGAACAAAACCCTCAGTGACCTGGCCCCCAAGTGAGGAGAAAGAAAGTCACTCCCCTCAAGCTCCAGCTTCATGAGGGGTACCAAAGTTCAAAGCTTCCCCCCAGATTAACTCTTCTGGGGGTGTGGGGCTAGTAGATTTTGTGGGGTCCTCTAGGCTCTGGGGTGAAGCCAAAATGAAGGATTCAGTGTGTGGGAGGGGGCTGCCGGGGAACGGGCAGGTTGTGGTGGGAGGTAGAGTGCACGAGCAGGCTGCAGGTGAGGGATTGGGGCACTTGGTGCAGCTCCTAGGGGGGCACAAGTGGCTATGCACCACTCTATGCTTGCAGGTACTGCACCCCCACATATACTCCCATGGGCCGTGATTCCTGGCCAGTGGCAATGATGAGGGCGGAGCCTGCAAGCAATGCAGAGACAGAGCTCCCTGCACTGCTATTCCCCCAGCTGCTTCCCTCCAGAGCCGCTTCCTCTCCCTGCCAGGCTGAATCCATGGATGGATCTGGCCCGTGGGCCATAGATGCCCTATCCCTGGCCTAGGGTAAGGAAGAGGGCAAGAATCAAGGTGCTGTAGGAGCCAGACCTTCAGATGGTGCCCTATCCTTTTCAGCAGGCACCAGTCTCTCTGACAGAAGCCTCTAGCTCCCTATCAGGCAGAAGCCCTGAGCTCTCCCCGAGTCTGTTAGGCAGAGAATGGGGGTGAGTAGTGTTCCGTGAGCTGCACTGGAAACATAAAAGAGTCCCATGTGGTTTGCAAGCCACAAGTTGGCCACCCCGATATATATTCTACATCTGCAGCAATGAGTGTTCAGAATAGACATGCACCAGGTGAAATTTACTTCTAAGCAGGGAGCTTGCTCACCTCTTATGCACCATTTAAATTGGGGTTTGGAGGGCTTATATAGGGCAAAATGCCTTGTTCTGTAGCTGCTGGAAAAGAGTGAATTTTAGCCTGGCTGCCCGAGATATCTTTTGTAGCAATAATTAACACAGGCTGATCCTAGGGCCAGCTGACAGTAAAATAAGTAATGTTGGTTTTGGCATCCCTGCAGAAAATAGCAGAATGTTTCCCTAAATGACTGGGCAAAAACAAAACAGGAAAAGGATTTGTATGGTAAGACTTAAAGGTTGTATTGCAAATAGTAAAGTAAACAAGACATTTAAAAGGCAAGCAGAAAGTGTCTGTTATTCTCTTCATACCTCTGGGGGGATGACAGTAAAATAAGTAATGTTGGTTTTGGCATCCCTGCAGAAAATAGCAGAATGTTTCCCTAAATGACTGGGCAAAAACAAAACAGGAAAAGGATTTGTATGGTAAGACTTAAAGGTTGTATTGCAAATAGTAAAGTAAACAAGACATTTAAAAGGCAAGCAGAAAGTGTCTGTTATTCTCTTCATACCTCTGGGGGGAAAATATTTCTGGGCTCAGGTTTTGTCATGATATCTCAATCACAGCTGAATGTCTTAATCATTTCCCTTTTTTTGTTAATTTTGCTTTTTATTTGAACAGAGGGCTTTGTGCATTGCTTACTCAGGCATGTCACCAAAATTGTTGCACTCCATTTTTATTCTGTTTGAACTTCATGCAAGTGACCAGTCACTGCCAATTTAGCTGTTATGTCCTTGAGCATATTTTAAAAAGACAAACACTGAGGTGCAATGGAAGCCACAGGATACATCAGTAACTCACTAGTCCTTTATGCTTATGTTTGCCCATGTCCTGAGTGTCTAGGATGTCACAGCTGCACTGGGAACTATGAGCTGATAATTAGGGCAGGAGGGATGGGGAACCTCCAGCATGCTGGCTGTATATGGTTCATCTGGATTAGCTGCTGGTGGGCTGTCAGAGGGTTTGTTTACCTGACTGTAGCCCACAACATATCCTGCAGCTCCTATTGGCCGGGAATAGCGAACCACAGCCACTTTGTGTGGCCATGCCTGCAGACACTCAGGTAAACAAACTGGTGGCCTATCAGTGGCTAGCCCTAATAAACCCCACATGGCTGGTGCACCAGAAGTTCTCTCTCTGAATTAGGGCACATTTACTCTGTGCTGTCAGAGAAGGGCTACAGGGCCACCGAAAAGTCTAGGATCTGGTTTAAGTGTGGTGCATCAGAGGATCCATAAACTGTGCTAGACTTCATTGAAAATTGCTCTACCTGACTAGTTACACCTATCTGCAGTTATTTT